TTTTCTCAAAACAGCATTTTTCAGGATAGCCCTATTGTGCTTAAAAGCGACCAATTTTGATTTTACATGTCAAGCTTTTTTCGAATGCAATTCTTTGAATATGTTGAGAACGACTCTGAATAATCTTACACTTTTGATAGAGCAGACAGACAGAACAATTGGTTACTGACCTCATGGTCTTGATGACCCAAAGCGGCCAACAATGTCAGCCCATTTACAACTCTACTGTGCAGAAGAACATGTTAATATCCCCCTGTAGGAATGGCTTCAAAACACTTAAGTCAGTAGTAGCACTGTCCTGGGTGTGAGGGGGGGGCAGAGCTGTATAGCATCTACAAATATTTATTATCTGTACTAAAAATATCTGCTACAACACTGGTAATCATAATCTGTAAATAGCTAGGAAGCCTTTTATCAAAGATACTGTTCAACCACCCATTCTGTACCTCAAAGCTGCCAATATCTAAGTCCCTTTCACATAATTTTTAAAACATATTTAAAAAAGCAGCCTGTTCAACAGTAGAGTTTTGGTCATTTAAAAAGGCGTTGCAATTTCTCCTGAGAAATAGAATACAGTGTATAGATCTAGTCAAACCCCATGTTACTGCCAGCCCTGCTACTGGTACACCCTCAACTTAATGCTCGTCCCATGGGTTAGCGATATAACGGGGGTTAGATTGCATGTCCAGGCTTCACCACAAAGTAACCAAGTTCTTTAAACCCCAACGGACGCTGGGATCGTCCACTGGTAATAACAGAGTTCCCCCAATGGACGCTGGGATCGTCCAGCAGTAATAACAGAGTTCCCCAACGAGCAGTGGGAGCGTCTGATACTAGTGACAACTGGTTTGCTTTATTTAATGCTGGCTTTTTCTTGTTTTGCGGAACTATGCCCGATCCAAATTTCTTTTATTTTTAGCAATGACTAATCCTTTGTTTCTGCCATTTAGAAGTTGGAGGCCAGCTTTTGGGGTTGTAATGAGACATAGTGCGCCAGATTTAGGTGACTGTAGAAGAAACTCCGGGAAACGGTTGAAAAAACTCAGGGTTTAAAGAGCTAAGGACCTACTTCTCATTGTCCTCGGTGATGTTTGCTTTGACAAAGTCAAAGAACGCTTCCAGGAAGTTGAAGCAGACGTTTGGTGTCCAGGGGCCCGTCACAGCAGGGTTCTGAGAAAACAGAAAAAACAGGGATGTGAGTGGGTGTCTGAGTTAAAGGTGAGCTGTTTTGAAGAAAACTTCAAGACAGTCAGGAACAAGTGCACAGCCGTAAATGAGAAGATTAAAATGGTGTTGAGCCAAAAAAAACCAAAGAATAAGAATTAGAAACAAATTACCGAAATGGTGGAAAAATGCCCGTTTTTTTCAATTTCATTATTTTGATGAGCGCTTGATTTCACCATACTGCCTCCAATATTGTAAGAATTATAATTAAGTGTCTACTTTGAATAGTTATCCAACAATGAATGTTTTAAAACACACTTGACATGTTGGCAGCTAGGGTTGCATTGGGATTTTAACCCTTGGCAGTCAGGGAGTTAATAGGCGAGTTTGCTCACATATCTATCTAATGTATCTATCTATCTATCTATCTATCTAACCGTCTATCTATCTATCTGTCTACAGAGTTGCAAAAGTTCTGTTACACCCATTACACTACGACGATTTTCGCTACATCCTACGAATTGCAGCAAAAATGAAAAGGTATGACTTGTGTGACTTATGAGACCCCATGTGCATGAGCAGACGAAAGAAATCACAAACCGGAAGTAGTATGTGAGCCAATTGTTGTTTTTGATTTCTCACGGTGTAGGTTGAAATCAACGCATCCTACACATAAAATTTGTTTAAATCACGCAGACAATATGTAAACACACCTTACACAGTATAAAATTCCTTGATATTTAACAGTTGGGCCATTTGTTCACCAGTTTTCAAAATACATTGTAACAAAACGGACAAATGTAGAAAATGAACGGGCTGTGTGTATGATACATTCTTCAATTGTGCTTTCTTCTGTTGCAAGACACGTAAATGTTTGCAGCAGGACCCTCTAACGCTTGAACAAATGTTTTAACATCCCTACAACTTTCCAAGACAAGCCTAGACGTGGCCGACCAAGGGCCACAACTCAACGTCAGATGTGGGTTATCGTCAAAACCCATGTTCGAAACCCGTTCCAACCAAGTACATGTAAATAGACTGCCAAGTACAACGGACTGTCCTAAAACACCATTATTAGACATTTATATGATCGTGGATTACGTGATTATCGCTCTTTGTGTGGAGCCATCCTAACCCTGTTTCATTGAATAAATCACCAAATTTGGGCACAACAACATCGGGATGGAACCGAAGACATTGGTAAAGTGTTCCATTCAGCAATGGTTCAGGTTTTTATTTTGTCGCATTGATGGAAGAGAAAAAGTGTTTAAAAGAAAAAGAAAAAGACTTCACAAAACCAATGTCCCCAAAGTGGACGGATCCGGAGCCTGACATGTGATGGTCTGGGATGGATTCTCTGCTCTTTATCGTACACATTTGGTCACTTTTCAAAGCAACATCAAAGGACGACGATTTCCTGACGAAATTCATCGTCACGTTGACTGCCCAATATGGCACGATTGATGGAATGTGCTAACAAGACAACGCCCGACCCCATGCGCCATGATTAGCCAAAACTCCTTCCAAACTCATCAAATCATTATTCTGGACAGGCCTGCAAGATCAACAAGCCTTAACCCAACAGAACATCTGTAAGATGACCTTGACTGGAGTATTAGAAATAGGCCGCACTCTGTACAAACTTGTCAGGAACTGAAGGGACCATTTCACAAGGAATAGCAGGTGATTCCTCAGGCAACCATGTGGACAATAATTCAGTCGGTGAAAAGACATTTTGTATCAGAAAATCAAGCGGGAAGAGGCCACACACAATACTGAGCAAACTTTGGTTTGGACTTTTCCAGGGTCAGTGTGTAGGCCTATACAATTATCGCCCTGGAATAAGGAATCACATTGGTCAATTCTTTTTATGTATGTCATGTTGGCAGAAAATGAATGAAGATCATGTGTACCGAATTTGTCATGGCTACGTTAAATAGTAAATGAGTTATTATACTTTTAAAGTGGGTGTGACAGAACTTTTGCAACACGATATATTTTATATGTATATATATAAGTAAGGATTTGCTTTGGCGATCATACGAACACAGTGGAAACCTGATATATAACAGGGGTGGTGGGAGTAGAGAAAAAGTCCTGTTATTTCCTATCCCGGTTAAATCAGAAATGCAAGGAAAGTAAGCATTTGTGGACTAATCCAGCTGTACTTATTCATGGGTAGTTTCCCTTGCCACAAGTACCCACGAACAGGGGTTTTGGCACCAACTTTCGCCTTGCCTCCTTAAACCTCATCATAAGAGCTTGGTCCACAGCATCTGCATCGGGTAGTCTCATGTTCTTTCGATCCAGAGCAAACTTTTCATTGGAGTATGCTGCCACCAGCTTCTCTCTATCCTTGATACTGGTGGGAACCGACCCTTGTGGAATGTCGAACTGACGACAAATTTAATCTCTGCCAGTGGAGTTTGCTTTTTGTCAACAGCCTGGATTATTTCGTATTTTTTGTCAATTGAAAGGCATTTTCTCTTGCGCTTGACATCGTTGGTGGCCATAATGAAAGAAGTAGGCTAAGAGCCTATAGTGTACATCTATGGCTTAGATCAAGGCCGACCGGTCGACCACAGATTGCGTTAAGCTTAGATCTACACATGCACTGTTGTTAGTGAACAGTCACAAGCGTGTTGGTAAGTTTTGGGCTAGATCGAAGTCTGCAGCACACGACAGCCATCTCTCGCTTCACACGCTGTGTGTGCTTGCAGTGGCGTGGCTTGCTTGGGCTTGCTACACCACTGCATTACTCTCTCTCTCTCTCTCTCTCTCTCTCTCTCTCTCTCTCTCTCTCTCTCTCTCTCTCTCTCTCTCTCTCTCTCTCTCTCCTTCTCTCTCTCTCCTTCTCTCTCTCTCTCTCTCTCTCTCTCTCTCTCTCTCTCTCTCTCTCTCTCTCTCTCTCTCTCTCTCTCTCTCTCTCTCTCTCTTACTTTTTACACCTTGTTAACGAGCCTCTGTCCCTGCTATAACCGGTTGGGCTCCGATGAGGCCCTGTTATTGGCTATAACTTTTAATAGAGACAAAGAGTAGGAAAAAACGGGGATTTATAAATACGCTGTTAAATCCCTGTTATTACCGGATCCCTGTTATTACAGGATCCCTGTTATTACCGGGCCTGTTATATAACGTTTCCACTGCATGACCTTATGCAGTTGCGAGAGTCGTAAAACCTTACTAAAACTAAAACTAAAACTAAAACTAAAAGCATTTGCTTGCCTTTGCCAACGCGGGCATTTCCTTCACTTCATAGCTCTCGAGCGATCGGACCATTCCATTGTTATCCCTGAAGCCACACATAACTACAGAGACCCCTGCCAGAACACTCTGTGCCCACCACTTGATCAACTTGAATCTGAGGAAAGAGAAGCAGTGAGGAAGTTTGAATGCATTTCAGAGTAAGTTAGAAAGTTAGTAAGAAAGTAAGTAGGCTACCTATGTACGTTTATTCAGCGTTTACTAAGGCCATTGGCCCACATCACATCACATAAAATACCCATTTGATTTTAGTAAAGTTTCCATAAATGAAAAAGTACAGAACAGGTTGTGCACATATCTCTTATTATTGCATATTTCTGTCACTGGGCCTAGTCAGGCTGGGAGGGATTAGCAATTTCCTTTGATGGACAAAGTGTGAACAACAGAAAATAAAGTGAAATTCATCTTCCATTTCATGAGAGTTACACCTCTCACATAAGGACGAATTAGTTAATTTCCACCAATAGAGATTGTTATTTAATGGGTTTTTAACAAAGTTATAACTTCAGCTCCAATACCGTGGGAGAATTGTAAGAGATAAAACATTATACTTGCGACAGATTTCTTCCTCTATGTTCTGCACAGAATGATCAACAAGTCTACTTTTTAGACTTTTCAGAGAGAGCATCTAGAGAAAGGATCAATTGAGTTAAGAAAATGTTTATAATTTATTCAAATTCTTTCTCTCTCTCTTACTCTGGGATTCTCACTCTCTCTATCTCTCTCTTCCTTTTTCTGCCAGTCGAATGTGTATGTTAATCTACGTTTTTTTTTCTCTTTTTTCTTTTAAAACCACAACCTTTAGAAAAATTGTATACCAGGCTCTGCCCCATCCCACCCACATCCCTCCCCCACCTCAACCCCAACCCCCAACCCACCTCCCCTTCCACCGGTTTGCGTTGTTTATAACTATAAACTTACAATCGCAAACACATAGCTTGTATATTTTCCTTGCTGAAGACTTGCACTACTCTACTGAGGCAATGGGGTACAAGAAAGAAAAAAACAATAGAAGTATAAAAATGGCATTAGACAAGTAGGTTTTTTTTTCTCGCTCCGTTTCCTGGTTTGGTCCCGACATTTTGCTACCCTAGAATTGCAGTTCTGCCTGCTCAGTACCATGTTCTGGGAAATTTGACGTTTAATTAAGAAAAATTTATTTCACAACATGTCAAACTTTAGCGAACACAATTCTTTGAATATTTTGATAATGATTTCGAATAATCGTACATTGTTTCTAACCTCATGGTCTTAGTAATTCTAAACGGCCAAAAATGTCAGGTGGAACTTTGTAATTCTAAGGAAGTGATGTGTAAGTTACGTAAAAAAGATGTGTTAACAACATGTGATCTCGGACTCGCAACCGTAAAGAAAGTCGTGCTGCGAATCCCGTCAGGGGCTCGACGTTTTGTTTCTGGAAAAGGCATCATCATCTCATCATCCTCATCATCATCATTGCCTTTCTCACCTTGGATCAGGATATAGGCCACGTACAAAAATAAGGCGTGTTTGTTCGTGTTTCTATAACTCTCCGTTTTTACTGGGTCGGGTAGTTGGCCCTCAG